CGGGCGGCGGTGTGGCGTTCGGGCCGGGGCTGGCTCTGGGGGCTGCCGCGCCTCCCGCGTACCCGCCGTCCCGCGAGGCCTGTCTGTGCTGGGGCTGTTGGAAACGCGCCCGTATCCACCGCTCTGACCTTCCAAGGTGGCCGCTGGCGCTGTTTTCCCGGAGGAAGGGCCTTGGCAGCCCTGGGAGCTGGATGAGGGAGGAGATCGGTCTTCCTCCTCCTCCTCCCAAAAGTTCCTCCCTTGCCCTGCCGGGAAGGGTCTCCTCGAGGAGGTGACTGCTGCACTCGTGAAGGAACACACCCATCTTACATCCAGCTGTTTTACACGGCAGGGGAGGTAAAACCCGGTGTGCTTGGCCCTCAGCTTGCGGGAGGGACCTCGCCTCCAGGGTAGCCTCCCATCTTGCTCAAAAGTCCTGTGCTTTCTTCAAAGCCTGTTGCTGTCGGAAGCCCGGCTTAGAAACTTGAAGGCACACAAAAAGACCATCTTCCAAACTAAAATATTATCAAGCATCCTTTGTATGAAACAGTCCTATTTTTTTTCTTTTCAGAGCTTGTGTCATTTTTTTTTTTTTTTTAGTTTGGACAACAGAGGCTGGCAGCTGGGGAACAGAAGGTTGCGTGCAACAAAGCAAAGCTTCAAGTTTCTTGCACTTTGTTTTCAGTGGACCCCAGAGTAGGGGGATACCCTGTTTAGACCCTAGGGTACTCGTGGAGGAAGCCATTATAGGAAACCCTAGCTCTGTCCAAGGCAGGAAGGTGATGGTAAAATTTCAGCAAAGAAACTAAGCTTAAGGGGCGAGAGGTGTGTGTGACTTTGGTGTTAGAGAGTAAGTCAGTTGAGGAATTGGAGAAACTTAGAAACTTAGATCCAGATCAACTTACTGCAGATTGAATCATTGTTCGGCTTTTTGAAAGAACAGTCCAACTACGTTGTTCTTGGTGCCACGTTCTTTTTGTAGTAGCTATTTACAGCTATATTGGGACCCATTTGCCTCCTAGGTGACCCTTTAAGGGCTGTGATCAAATCACATTCATGTGTTCATATATTACAACTAATTTATAGCATGACGTTTGTTTTACAGAGGTAGTTGCAAAATGCAAAAACTCCAGTATCATAACTTTCACATGTATTAGGTTGGGTTTTCGTCCCCTGTAGATTCTGTAAAGTTGTTGTGTTTTGGTTTTTTTCCTATTATGGGGAATACTTAACTGGAAGTGGGCTAGTGAAAAATGTGACCTTTTGCACTGGGAAGTCATATCCTAGGCCTGAAAAACCCGGGACAGTGAATTTTTAGAATAATAAATAACATTATAACAGTAATAGTAAACTTTTGGGCTAGAGTGGGTTATATTGATGGTCAATGATACATCATGCATTTCTGTTTCAAGTTTAATAAACTTAAGTTTCATGAAATACAAGCTGGGCAATTTGGAGAATATAACCAGTTCTCTGGCATTTTTGTTTTGAAATGGAGTTCCAGAATCATAGCATATATTTGATGTAGATCATTTACAGTTTAACTCTACCCATAAGGTTCAAAAAGATATTTTTTTGATCACATGAAAACTGCTTCTGCCTTTCCTTGCTGGATAGTCTGAATATTATTTCATGTTACTAACTTCTTGAGCAGTAGTACAGTTACAACAAGGTAACTGGGTCCCAGTGCCATCCTGTGCTTGTAAACTAGTGTTTATTCCTTCTCTTCCTCGGGAAGATTGGCTGTGTCCAAGTCGTCTTCCATCTTTGGATGCTTTGAGAAGAGGATAAAGATGATGCGTAGTCTTGGACTCTGATTCAATTACTTGCTTTGCATAGCTCTGAAATTCACGCTCCTTGCAAAGTGCAATAACCTCTTTCTGAGCATCGTAGTCCAAATCTGCTTGCTTTTCCTGCTGTTTTTTTCTCTGCTTTTCAGCCTGATGAAGAAAAGGGAGTAAAAAAGCCTAGTATTTCTTTCGCAACATAACTATCCCTTAAAACTCAGAGAGGGTAAAAGCTTACAGGAGATCTGTGGTGATGTTAGTTGATATTTGGCAAATATCATCCCTCCCCACTTCTCTCCCCTGCCATACCCTCCTCCCAAAGAAAAAAAAAAAGGGGGGGTACATTAAATAGCTGAGTGAACATCAGCATCAGCTACTGGTCTTTGGTGACCTGCCCAAGAGATACAAAAGGGCAGCAGTAGTACATAATGGCACAGGATAGGATGTGATCTGTCATTGCAAAGCAGCCCTGACTTGCACCACTGCTCAGAGAGGAGGCTGGTCCCCAACATCAGCACATGTGGAGCATACATGACTTAAAAAAACCAAAACCAACAAACAAAAAAACCCAAACAAAACACAGCAAGCTTCCTCTCTCTCTTCCGCTCAGGCAGAAGCTAATACTGTTGGTTTAGATGCGTGCTTCTTTCTGAAGGGGCTGACAGGGTACAGCTCTGCTATTTACCATTTGCTGGATCTGAATTTTCTGTACTTCCACGTTTGTGTCACGTTGTCTTTGTTTTTTGGCTTTTTCCATTTCTAGGTAGATGCGGTTCTTTTCCATTAGTGCATGAAGTTCTTTTTTACCCTCTGCTTTTTCCTCTTTCTCCTTTTCCACTTTCATCTTCATCTGTATTTTACAAAATACACAAAAAAAGTTAATCAAGGAGCTAGCCTGCTAAGCTGGAAGCCGAATCTTTCAGCAGAAGCGGCCCTCTGTCAGTGTTCTGATAAGCACGGTCATTGTGGCCAGCCAGTGCCCAAGCCCAGGGTTTTCAGCAGCCCTGGCAGATGTGCACCCACATGTAAGTGGGAGAGGGAGAGAAGACCCCAGGTAAGATGTCAGCAGACCTGATGAAGCATGCTGATTCATGGCACCGGAGCCACCAGCTGTGATCTGGGCCAGGCTCCTTGAAACAAACAGGAGTAAGAACAGGCTGGGTTTCTTACCACGGTGGCTCTATGTTCAGCAATAGATTCGATGGCTGCCTTTTCTTTTGCTTCCTTCTCTTTGCGCTTTTTTTCTTGTTCAGCTTCTTTTTTTGCAATATCTCTAGCAAGACGATCATCTTCCCTCTTTAATGCCTCATTCATTTGTACAGCTAATTGGATAACGATTTTGTCTTGATGTTCCTGTGTTAGTCTGCAGAAGAACATGAGCTACCATAACATACCAGGGTACACACCTGGGTTTACCTGAAGCATTACTGCTACCAAACTCAGCAATCCTGCTTCTAGTCTTCTCTTGCCACAAAGGGTGGCTGGCCCACCCACCCAACTCTTTGATCTCCTTGTGTTCCTCCTGGTTTTTGTTTCTTTTTAAATTATCTGATTTAGCAAATAAGTGTTCCCTGTATTCTTGTAACACTAGCTTTCTGTTCCAATAATGAGCTGGATCGCTGGGGGAGGAGCCTGCATAGCATCTTGCCATCAGTGGAGAAATGTTGGGAGTATTGGCCAGAAGCAGGAAGAGAAGGGAGCTCTTACATTGACTCAGTGGTATCTTCATGCTGTACCCTCACTGTTAAATTGGTAAACCATCTTCCCTTAATAATAACCCAATGTAATTAATTAATATAGATGCCTAGTTAAGCAGTCAAATTATTTTGCTTGATCTGACTCAGGCAAATACAGCTTATGCCCAAAAATACTTTCATCAAGGATTTTAATTGTCTTTAATTTTTGAGGAGGTGGAGGCTTGGCAGCCCATATGGAAAATCACTGCTCCCAACACGCTGGTGTAGAGCTTTGCAGTTCCTTAAGACTTTGTACTTTGAAGGGCAGGGAGATCACTCCCACACACACCTATTACTAAGGAACCTTTGAAAGAATTTCCTTTTTCTCCTGAATTCCCTACTCTCCCTATCAGTAGAATTTAATTTTTAGAATAACTGTGGTTTGTATTATATCATCAGTCTGAAAGATTTGAATATGACTACAGTGTAATTTTTAGTTTATTTACAATTTATACTCTAGCTTTGTACCTACCTACGCATTTCAGCTTCTTTCTCTTTTATCAGCTTGGCAATAGTTTCCTTTGCTTTAAAATGAGCTTTAATCCGATCGTCTTCTTCCATTTGTTTTTGTTCCTCTACTGCTTTGATAATTTTCTGGTTGGTTACATGCTCCTGCATGGGCAAAATGGTCCTGATATAACCCACAAAGTTTAGAAAATCTGGGCCCGGAGTAGCAACTTAGAAGAATCGCTCCCTATTCTCCCTCTTTGTGTTTCTTTCAAAGAGAAGAGAGGAAAGGGAT